TCTTGTGAGTGTTTTCCCCGAGAAACAAACACAATACACACAAACGCAAAAATACACAAACACACACACGTATACACACACACACACACACACACACACACACACACACACACACACACACACTCGCTTCCCCCAGACCAGTAATCCAAACGAAAATTCTTCCCTCCATACTATTTTGATCATTTGCTCCGCTAATCAATCAGATCGATGGATTCCAGAGATTTTTCTCAAAAATGATGACTCCGTAACAGTCAGTGGGCACCACTTAACAGCCAATCAGAATGAGAATGTTTCACATGTGACTTATTCAAATTGCGAGTGATTGAGTGACAGATGAAGGTTGTTTAGGAGAAAATGTCGGAGAAGAAAGAGTTTGAGAGTGGCGCTCGGAAAAGGAAATTGTTGAGGGAAAAGGAGTTTCGAGACAAGCAGCTATTACAAAAAATGCCGAAGCTTACAGGTTATTTTAAACCTGTAGGCCAGGATGAGGAGGAAGGACAGATGAGTTCTGTACCGAGCGGCAGCGGTGCCTCGGAGCCAAGTAGGCCGTCTGGTTCTGATAGCGATGGAGTAGCGGGAGAGGAAAAACAGAGAGGAGGGATGTTGGAGGAGAGGACGACGAGGACTTGCTATGTGGAGGGGAGCCAACGGCAACCGGACAAATACATGAGGGAGGCCCGATACGTCACTCATCTGGAGGAGAGGACCAGGCGCGCGTGGAGCAGAGTGGAGAAGTGCGATCACAGAGCCTGCCGAGGCTATAAATGACTTTGATTTGTTGTTTAAATAGGGGGCCTACAAAACCTATCAGCCCCAGGGCCTGATGGCAGGTTAAGGCGGGCTTGCCTATAACTTGTCTTCATACCTTTCATGGACAGCAGTTCCTTGTCATGCATAATTACCACGTTGCTGATATGTGCCCATTTTTCTCTCTCACAATCTGTAACATTTGTAAAAGTGAAATGCAAAGCTCAGTATTCTAAGATCACTCCAGATTAATCAGTATACAATAGACAATTCTATATGCTAGGAGTGTGTTTAAATATTGTTGAATTCACCGTTTTTCAAAAAAAATACATTCTTACCTATCTGCCAAACCATGCTAAAGATTTATTTCAGGAATGACCACAAATCACTTAAAGAGGGTTCACGAGAAAATTGTATTGATAATACTGAAATTGATCATTATCACAATGTTATCAAAGTGTTGTAGGGAATGTGCTGCATAATTGATAACTTTCTGAATATGGGATGTATGTTTGGCCCTTTAATACTCCTCTCCCTCTTCGTCCTCCTCTCCCATGCTGTCAGTGCCAACCTCTTCATAATCCTTCTCCAGGGCAGCCATATCTTCTCTGGCCTCTGAGAACTCTCCCTCCTCCATGCCCTCCCCAACATACCAGTGGACAAAGGCTCTCTTGGCGTACATGAGGTCAAACTTGTGGTCGAGACGGGCCCAGGCCTCAGCGATGGCTGTGGTGTTGCTCAGCATGCACACAGCCCTCTGCACCTTGGCCAAGTCTCCACCGGGGACCACTGTTGGAGGCTGATAGTTGATGCCCACCTTGAAGCCTGTGGGGCACCAGTCCACAAACTGGATGCTACGCTTTGTCTTAATGGCAGCAATGGCAGAGTTGACATCTTTGGGCACCACATCACCGCGATACAGCAGACAGCAGGCCATGTATTTACCATGACGAGGATCACACTTCACCATCTGATTGGCTGGCTCAAAGCAAGCATTGGTAATGTCAGCAACGGACAGCTGCTCATGGTAGGCTTTCTCTGCAGAGATGACTGGAGCATAGGTGGCCAGAGGGAAGTGGATACGAGGGTAGGGCACCAAGTTGGTCTGGAACTCTGTGAGGTCGACATTCAGGGCTCCATCGAAGCGAAGCGAGGCTGTGATTGAAGACACAATCTGGCCAATAAGCCTGTTCAGGTTGGTGTAAGTTGGCCTGTCGATATCTAGGTTTCTGCGGCAGATGTCGTAGATGGCTTCGTTGTCTACCATGAAGGCACAGTCGGAGTGCTCCAGGGTGGTGTGGGTGGTCAGGATGGAGTTGTAAGGCTCAACCACTGCGGTGGAGATCTGGGGGGCTGGGTAGACGGCAAATTCAAGTTTGGATTTCTTTCCGTAATCAACAGACAGTCTTTCCATCAACAGGGAGGTGAAACCAGAGCCAGTGCCTCCACCAAACGAGTGGAAGATAAGGAATCCCTGCAGGCCAGTGCACTGATCAGCCTGAAAGAAAAATGTGCCTGGTTAGACACTATCAAGTTAGGATGTCACATGAACGATCAACATTGTGGACCACATTTCTTTCTTTCTAAATGATGAATAAAAAAATAACTAAACTAACTGAATCCTCACCAGTTTACGAGTCCTGTCCAGAACCATATCAATTATCTCCTTGCCGATGGTGTAGTGTCCTCTGGCGTAGTTGTTGGCAGCATCTTCCTTTCCTGTAATCAGCTGCTCAGGGTGGAACAGCTGACGGTAGGTTCCTGTACGAACCTCATCTATGAAAGTAAAAATAGAAAAACATGAGCAAGAAATAATGTCCATGTTTACATACAGTATGGGCTGTTGAGTCAAGTAAGTTCATGTTTATTTACACATTACTGACCGATGACAGTGGGCTCCAGGTCGACAAAGATGGCTCTGGGAACATGCTTTCCTGCCCCTGTCTCACTGAAGAAGGTGTTGAACGAGTCGTCTCCTCCTCCGATTGTCTTGTCACTGGGCATCTGTCCGTCTGGCTGGATCCCATGTTCCAGACAGTACAGCTCCCAGCATGCATTGCCCATCTGGACTCCGGCTTGGCCGACGTGCATGGAAATACACTCACGCTGATTAAAAGAAGGGAGAGAGGTTGGTTAAAGAAAGAAGCCAACTAATATTATGAGATTTTGATTTAATCTCCAAATGCAAGAATCTTTGCTTTAGGAAATTCAGCTAACAAATCCCTAGGGATCTTTACAATGTGTGCCACTGAATATCAGGTAAACTCACAAGTACTTTCAGTTGAGTCGTTTCATGTTTAACAATTGTTAAAGGAAAGGCAAAAAAACAGTTGTATTGAATTATTGCTTTATGTCATGTGGTGTTTTTTCTTTGAACTTCAAGTTGAATGACAATCTTTGGTTTGATGTCTGCACTCGGTTCAGAGGGGACTGTGAATCTTTCTTTGTCTGCTTATTTGACAAAGAAGCATTGACAGCTGAATTATGCGTGCCAGGGCAGAATGTTGGAGCTTTCAGCTGCTCTAAGTCAATACAAGTATGGCCAGCATTCTAATGAAAGCAGCTATGAGATCATAGTCTGCACTCTTTATAACGACAGTCAAGCGTGTGGGCATGACATGTTGCCACAAATGAAATGCAGTTTTAAAAGCAATAAAAAAAAACATTAAAAAGAATTTCCTCAAATAAAGTATAGAACATGTAATCTAAGAAAAGGGTAAAGCCTCCCCCCACTGCTCCATCCTGTATCTCCTCCCTTTCCTCATCCCCTCCCCTTTTGTGTCTCTCTCCTCCCCCATCCTGTCCAGCTGCATGGTGCTGTAACAGTGAGGGATGTCTCCCTCTCTTGCTCCCAGTATACACATCTCTCTCCAGACAAAAACTCCTAACAGCTGCAAAATGGCTGCCGGCTAACTATTACTGTAGTCCGGACCACTCCTATTTTCTCTGTCCCTTCTATCCATCCCCCCAACTGCCACGATTGACCTGACCACTCAAACAAGATTACTTTAATTCCTCAACAAAAAACATAATCAAGGCTCCAGTCATTTAGTTTCCATTCGTCACATATGTTTCTTTCCTTAATAATAACTTGCAGTACATCCAAGTTTTTGAAATGACAAAGCCGTCTAACTTGTAAATTGTCTGTCACCTGGCCTACATTGTCTAAGAGTAGGCCTACTTAAATGACTTATGGACTCTTACATTCATGAGTGGTTATCCTTTGGCATTTCTCTCTGATATCTAAAGTTAAAGTTAAATTCAACTCAAAACTAAAGTAACTTGAAAAGATAAAGCTGCTTTTCACAGCAGAGGCCTTATGAGCATTAAAGAGGCCCGGCTGTTTGATCCATCTAATGCTAAGAAACAGAGACAAAGGGAGGGTGAAGGGAAGAGAGAGAGAGAGAGAGAGAGAGAGAGAGAGAGAGAGAGAGAGAGAGAGAGAGAGAGTGGAGATGTTAAGACTACGTCATCAGCCAAGCTGTTACTTACCATTTTGTCTGCTAGTCCTTCGACTGACGGTGAGGATTCAGATACAAGGCAGAAGTGGGGAGGAGAAGGAGAGTCACGGCTTATATAGGCAAGGATGTGGAGGGGGCAGGCAGGAAACCACAGCAAGCAGCTGCATTGCTCATTGACGGGAGGGAGCAGCAGAAAAGTGGGAAGTCCCTAACACTGTCTGTCATGTTTCCGCACTTACATTAAACTGCTTTGTCTGTCAGTTTAAGATTAGATACTCATGTTAGGAGACATAACCATTTGTAAACTGTTCTTCATGATCACTTTCCCCCCTATTGTGTCATGTTGTGTGCTAGTTAACTGACAATCTTAAGTTGTTATGTTGGGAAATGTACCAATAGCCTGCAAAATGTTCTTCCCTGATTATATCTCTGCATAGAAATTACAGTATATTCAGTCAACAGGACTGTGGGCTAGGATAGTGATAATGCTTATGTTATGCATGCATGCACACCTACACATTCATCAACACACTTACAACATTTTTATGTGTTGTATAATGAAGAAATAATCATACAATATTGTAATAAAATACATAAAGGTCTTTCTTATCTGAATTAACACATGTTAAAGATATATGCTTTGATGGTTGCAAACTGAACGGCGGGCAATGAGATCCTTAGCAATGATGGGAGATGACACAAATTACATTGTTTCAGTTTAATCAGCTAATTCACTACACACAGAGAAACATCAGACCAATGTAATGTGAAATAAAAAACAAGAAACTTCAATGAAATGTCAAGGCCAGTGTTTTATCCATGGTACAACTTTTCAACAGCCCTCTTTGGATCACAGAGCTGTAATTCATATAACTGTGAACCCATTGTTGCTGCAGGCCACTGTCTGGGTATGAACTACACAAACAACGCCAGTCAGGGAGTGAGTCAGTCATTTTCTCTCCCTCTTGCTCTCACACACTCACAGCTGAATGGTATATCGAAACTGACATAGAAGCTTTTCATAACTTACATTCCACATGGGAGAGGATAGTGGGGGGAGGTGCACAAAAGAGAGGGTTCCCAGTCTGATACGGCAAAAAGAAAAAAAGGCTCAAAATAAATCTGCCCACACATTTGAGGTTACATAGGACCATAACTAATGAGTCTTTGAAATGTAATCACATTGAAAAAATATTGAATATCTTAAGTTAATATCTTGGGTTAGGTTTGGTTTGTGTTTCACATAAAATGTGACAATGTGTCAGAGTATGCAGAATATCCTACTGAGTTCCTCATCGTGCAACTCATTTTAAGAAATACTTAAGAAATGTTTTCCATTCACCATGTTGCTGGGTTTTGATATTTATGTTAATAATAAGGATAATTATATGGTTTCTCTTAATCAAATTGTTGCTTTATTCGTACATTTAGCCTATACTATTCATCGCTACATACAACTAATTGGCCCATTTGAAAACCAGGTTAAAATAACATGTTACTGACTTAAATACAGGCCTTAGGACCATCAGTATTCCTCTTCTTCATCCTCTTCTCCCATGCTGTCAGTGCCGACCTCTTCATAATCCTTCTCCAGGGCAGCCATATCTTCTCTGGCCTCGGAGAACTCTCCCTCCTCCATGCCCTCCCCAACATACCAGTGGACAAAGGCTCTTTTGGCGTACATGAGGTCAAACTTGTGGTCGAGACGGGCCCAGGCCTCAGCGATGGCTGTGGTGTTGCTCAGCATGCACACAGCCCTCTGCACCTTGGCCAGGTCTCCACCGGGGACCACTGTTGGAGGCTGATAGTTGATGCCCACCTTGAAGCCTGTGGGGCACCAGTCCACAAACTGGATAGCGCCTTTGCTCTTGATGGCAGCAATGGCTGTGTTGACATCTTTGGGCACCACATCACCGCGATACAGCAGACAGCAGGCCATGTATTTACCATGACGAGGATCACACTTCACCATCTGATTGGCTGGCTCAAAGCAAGAGTTTGTGATCTCAGCAACGGACAGCTGCTCATGGTAGGCTTTCTCTGCGGAGATGACTGGAGCATAGGTGGCCAGAGGGAAGTGGATACGAGGGTAGGGCACCAAGTTGGTCTGGAACTCTGTGAGGTCGACATTCAGGGCTCCATCGAAGCGAAGCGAGGCTGTGATTGAAGACACAATCTGGCTGATGAGCCTGTTCAGGTTGGTGTACGACGGGCGTTCAATATCTAGGTTTCTGCGGCAGATGTCGTAGATGGCCTCATTGTCCACCATAAAAGCACAGTCGGAGTGCTCCAGGGTGGTGTGGGTGGTCAGGATGGAGTTGTAAGGCTCAACCACAGCTGTGGAGACACGGGGGGCCGGGTAGATGGCAAACTCAAGCTTAGACTTTTTACCATAATCAACAGAGAGTCTCTCCATGAGCAGGGACGTGAAACCAGAGCCTGTGCCTCCACCAAAGGAGTGAAAGACCAGAAATCCCTGCAGGCCAGTGCACTGATCAGCCTGTAAAAGTAGGAATGCATCAAGAAATACATAAATCACTTAGCAAAAAAACGTTTAATATATCAGAAAAGTAACACCACATTCCCTCACCATTTTACGAGTCCTGTCCAGAACCATATCAATGATCTCCTTGCCGATGCTGTAATGTCCTCGGGCGTAGTTGTTGGCAGCATCTTCCTTTCCTGTAATCAGCTGCTCAGGGTGGAACAGCTGACGGTAGGTTCCTGTACGCACCTCATCTGGAGATACAAATTAGCCAAACAAATGATTGAATACACAACTAAGAGCTCAACAGTAAAATGTTCCTACAAAAGCAAGTCAAAATATTTTATCTGGTAATAAAGAGATGATTATCATTGGTATAAATGTAGACATTTTAAAAATGAATATCAACACAGTTGCATCATATGCTTAAAAACGTTGGTACATCAATAGTAAAACTACATAAATAAATGGAAACATCCAATCTGTTTAATATCATTAGCTTTATAACCAGCACTTACCGATGACAGTGGGTTCCAGGTCGACAAAGATGGCTCTGGGAACATGCTTTCCTGCCCCTGTCTCACTGAAGAAGGTGTTGAAGCAGACGTCTCCTTTTCCAGTGATCCTGCCACTGGACATCTGTCCGTCAGGCTGCAGCCCATGCTCCAGACAGTACAGCTCCCAGCAGGCATTGCCAATCTGAGCTCCAGCTTGGCCCACATGAATAGAGATACATTCACGCTGCAGAGAAAATGCAACATTGTTTATTTTTTACATCTGTTAACTTTCTACATTTCTGCAACATATATTCAACTGCCTGAGTCCAAGTATCAAATTATATAATTTACACCACTCTGTCTGTCATGGACTGATCCAAATTAAAAGCATTTTCTTATCTTTCACTCATACAATTATTGCAAAAATGCAGAAAATGTAACAATTGTTAATAGATACAAAAACAAGCACTAGCGGAAAGTTTGAAAGTTAATCACATTTTACCATAGTTTCTGTTTCTTCTCCAAAGTCCAGGTATCGGTAAGAAGATGTGGAAAGAGCATTTATTCTCTGCCCTTTTATACTTTCAGCTTAAGGTGAACAGTGATTTGATCTCTGCTGTAATGGGAGAACCCACTGATGAGAGGATAAGATCATCTGCTTGACAAACAAACACACAAAGCAAAAGGAGGTCACCACCCTACTCATTGTGTGCGTTTGTGAGTACTGGTGTGTACCTTTTATTTCAGAAAACAGAAGCAAACCCCATACAAGGGGAAAGGTGACCTGGTGTAGTTTCACTTGGTAGTTTCTCATATATGACTCAATGAAGTAGCTTATCACAGGATAACAAACATTCCTATTGCAATGAGGTTGGTTTTTGGTAAAAAAAAAAAAACTGTTAGGGGTTAGGGTTATCTCTATTGTCTGAGAAATATCAATTTGTTTAAGTGTGTCACATTCATTTTGCAGTATACCCTATGTTGCGCTATGTTGTAATTTTTGTAATTGAAGGGCATTTACTTACTATAACTAACTTTTTCAATTTCGCATTGTCATATCAAATGACTTGTATGCATCAATAAGTGAACACTGATTGCTAAATGCATGCATTTAACAGAGAATGAGCATATATTAGACCGAGATTTTTAAATAGATCATATCATACTTTTTCTTCTGAAGGTTTGTGTGGATTCTCAAAATAAAAGCATGCAGAAAATACAAGATAAGACTTTATGGTAACATGTATTTGTAATTCCTCTTAAATGTAAAGTTGATTATCATTCGACATATCAGTTCCTACAATCTTTTCCTAAGTTGAAATGAACTGATAGTATTTATTAAGCAGTACATTAACATTAGACCTCCTCCTCCTTCCCTAATTCGTGTAACCCCTTGGGAGAGTAACTGAATACAAGTGAACCAGCTTGTAAGGCGTCAGCTGACTAAGTAGAGTAAAACACATCTGCCTGCCAGATTGGTTAGACCAGGGGTTCCCAACCTTTATTGTGCCAACGACCGGCAGATACATTTAAAAAAAATCGCGGACCGGTTGTCAATTTTAACTGATTTTAATATTTACTCACCAGCAGGTAGCAACAGAGGCTAATTGTATGTAACAGCCTGAACAAATACTAGAACAATATGCATCCACAACATATTAATAACGTTTAAAAAAGAACCAGTGTCGTTTTTCGGAAAAACGGAAAACCAAAAAACCGACGTTATTCAATTTTTAAACCAAAACGGGAAAACAGATAAATCAACGTTTTGGTTTTATTTGTATGATTTACGGATAATCCAGTGATGGGAAAACGAGGAGAAGGCGCATTATGAAGGAGGTGTGCGTGTGCGTGTGTGTGACACTGGCATTTGTTTTCAGAAGATATTGTAGGAGCCATATGTTAAAATGTATAGTCTGATATTTTTGAATATTATTATCCTTTGTTGTTAGTGGTATTATATAATTTATTGGAACCAGCCGTGTGAAATTAAGGGCATAGACGACCGCAGCTGTTCGTGATTACGAGACGTTATAGCCGACGGCAGCTGTTGATTGGCGTGTGTGAGAAGGAGAAAGAAGCACGGATCGTTTTTTGAACTGAGAGAATATGTGTTTGTATTTGATACCTTTTTGTGTAAGTAAAAAACAAACTATCCTGAGACGTTTTTGTCCGAGTCAAGCTTATTTGCTATCTGTGAGCCGAATTTTGGATTACTGGAACTACATTTTGGCTCCCCGTCGGGTAATTGAACCCCGGTCTCCCGCGTGACAGGCGGGGATACTGACCACTATACTAACGAGGAACCTCACTTAACGATCAGCTGCTACAAGGACCTGACCTCACAAACTCCCTTGTTGGTGTCCTTTTGAGGTTCAGAGAAGAGCCTATTGCTTTGATGGCCGACATTGAGGCGATGTTCTACCAGGTCAAAGTCCCTGACCAAGATGCTGATCTTCTGCGTTTTCTATGGTGGCAGGATGGTGATCTGAACAAACCGATGGAAGACTACCGAATGACAGTGCACCTGTTCGGCGCTACCTCGTCTCCCAGCTGTGCATCATATGCACTAAGAAGAACAGCACAGGATGGAGGAAGCAAAACAACACCCGAGGTGGTGGAAACGGTTCTCAGAAACTTTTATGTGGATGACTGTTTAAAGTCTATGGATTCAGAAGATCATGCTGTTGCTTTGGCCAGGGACCTCAGACATCTGTGCGCCAGTGGAGGTTTCAGGCTTACAAAGTGGGTCAGCAACAGTAGGGCCGTCTTGTCGTCCATCCCTAAAGAAGACAGAACAATGGAAGTCAAAGATCTTGACCTGAACCATAAGCAGCTTCCTATGGAAAGAGCCCTTGGTACTCAGTGGTGCACTGAATCAGACACCTTCAGGTTCAAAGTGCAACCACAGGACAAACCAGCTACAACACGAGGAATCCTGTCCATCGTTAGCTCCATCTACGACCCCCTCGGGTTCCTGGCCCCATTGGTACTGCCAGCGAAGTTCCTTCTGAGAGACCTTTGCAGGGAAAAGAGAGGTTGGGATGAGAAGATAGACAGTGGGCAGGCCCAGAAATGGATGAAGTGGTTGGCCGACCTTGAACAGCTGTCAAATTTTTATGTGCAGAGATGCGTCAAACCGGCAGAGGTTGAACCCATGAAGATGGCACAGCTCCACCACTTTTCCGATGCCAGCATGGATGCATATGGAACAGCTACCTATATCGTGCAGACAAACAACCAAGGCAAAATAAAGGTTTCCTTGCTGATCGGAAAGTCCAGAGTCGCTACACTGAAACACATCACCATTCCGAGAATGGAGTTGACAGCAGCAGTCGTCGCCGTCAAGGTCGACAAGATGCTAAGAAGAGAGCTTCAGGTTAAGCTGGAGCAATCTATCTTCTGGACAGACATATATTGAGAACGAAACATCTCGCTTCAAAACTTTTGTCGCAAACAGGATCTCAATCATTCGTGAGGCTACTACACCAAGCCAAACACCTCTGTGAACCCTGCGGATCAAGCTTCAAGAGGTCTGAAAGTTGAGAGTTTTATCCAAAGTGAGAACTGGATACAAGGCCCACGTTTCCTGTGGAGAAATGAAAGTGAGTGGCCAGAAAGACCAGATCTGTCAAGCAATGTACATGTTTCTCCTTGGTGTGGTCCACTTCTGGCGCTCTTGTAGGAGAGGTAGGTATTCCAGTGTCCATCTTAACCAGAACAGGTCAGCCAGATATTGTGATTGTTTCCATCTGCGTCGTGAATACACATCCTCCTTCCTGAACACCCCTGGGGGCACGCTTGATTTAGACTTGAGTAACAACAAGTGGTTTGGTGTGAGTGCCTCAAGGTCATTGGGGTCATCCGAAATCTTTGTGATGGGGCGATCATTGATAATGGACTCCACCTCACATAGCACGGTCTGAAGGCCCTCATCATCCATGGCTTGCTGTTTGAGCACTGAATTAATAATTTTCCTAACAGTGCGTATTTGTCTTTCCCACACTCCTCCGTGGTGGGAAGCACCTGGGGGATTGAAGATCCACTTGGTATCAAGGGAGTAAGCCACCTCGATATGCACTGCTCTGATTGCCAGACAAGTGAAGATCACGCCATACCGTTTCACCAGGCTGCGTTCCCGCTTAATTTCAAAGGGTCCGAAGTAATCTACTCCGACGTTGGTAAAGGGGGGTTCATCTGGCAATACACGATCTTTGGGCAGGTCGGCCATTTTCTGCTGTCCAGCCTTGGCATGTAGTCTCCTGCACACTGTACAATCAGTTATGATCCTTCTTACTGCTGCGTTAGCCTTTGGAATCCAGTACTTCTGCCTTAACTTTGAGAGTGTATGATTCCTGCCTCCATTCGCATTTGTTTCAGAAGATATTATGATAGGTCACCCGGATGTGAGAGGACGCTGGCGTCGTTTGCTCGCCGCTTCTCTGTCTGGATTTTTTTTTACTCTTTTCTACTCTTTCCTCAACATGTCTTAGCAGCTTTTTGGCCGAACAGTCCGGTTAAGATCTATGTCAATCTTCCACTGCCTGGATCACTGAGATGTGTGAAAGTGTCCGTGTTTTCCTACCTGAAAACACCGGCTCCGTTTCGCCGCTCCACCTGCTCCCCTTCTGATCCTCCCGGCTTCACCTGCCTAGCTCCTCCAACGCTGCCTCCACCCCATTCCCGGACTTTTCAAAACGTGTCCTGCCTTTGACTGGCCTGGACTCCTCTTCCGTGGACTACCTGGAGCTAGCTGCCTGCATCTCTGCAGTCATCAAGCTGCAGGTCAGGATACCCGCTAGCTGCTAATGCTAGCGGCTGCCCGGCTCACCTGTCCACTCAACGCTCCGTCTCTCCTCTGCCTGGCATGGCCATGGCATTGAGGTACTCCGCTGCGAGACTTCTACAACTCAACAACCATTCCACACCGTTATGCATCTCTGCCATCAAAAACCACGAACTTCTAAAACGAACCAGATACATCCATAGATAGAGGCTCCGGTCGCAAGTTTGTTTACTTTCACACAGGTCGCTCCATCCCCGTACTCTGGTCAGCTGAGCGCACACCCACCTTTCGACTAAGTCATCACAACAATACAGACGTGCGCGCCCCCTGTCTGCAAGCCCTGGCAATGACACCTGAGTCAATCCTCACCACACAAAGCAATATGAAGCTCACTCTGTTTAATACCCGGTCCCTCAACAATAAAAACCACATTCTCAACTAATTCATTCTGGACAATAAACTGGACTTTCTCTGTCTGACAGAAACCTGGCAACAACCTCTGGATTATCTCTCACTCAACCTCACTACACCCAATGGATACTCATATATAAATAAGCCACGCTCGGTGGGCCGAGGTGGTGGAATTGCCGTAATACACCGACAGGACATTAAAACCAGCCTCATCCCCATCTCATCTGCTCCTTCATTTGAACACCTGGCTTTTAAACTCTCTGGTCACACACAGTCAGTCCTGGCAGTTGTCTACCGCCCTCCCAAACCAAACCCATCATTCCTCTCTGATTTCTCTGAATTTCTGACCCAGCTCTGTTCTTTCTCCACCTCAGTCCTCCTACTTGGTGATTTCAACATCCACATGGACTCCACTGACTCTACAATAACTACAGACTTCACG